GCCTTTTTTAGCCATCCATATACTGTTATTGTTTGTAGGCTAATTGCAACATAAAAAATGACATCTCAAAAAAAAAAAAAAAAAAAAAAAAAAAAAAAAAAAAAAAAAAAAAAAAAAAAAAAAAAAAAAAAAAAAAAAAAAAAAAAAAAAAAAAAAAAAAAAAAAAAAAAAAAAAAAAAAAAAAAAAAAAAAAAAAAAAAAAAAAAAAAAAAAAAAAAAAAAAAAAAAAAAAAAAAAAAAAAAAAAAAAAAAAAAAAAAAAAAAAAAAAAGCTGAAAAATGAAATAAATAATGCTATTTATTTATTTTTTATTTTTTTTGAATAAAAAAATCACCAACCCTGATCGTTTTTAATCATTGTCAGAGTATCACCCATTTAGGCCAATAAGGGGAAATGAGTATTAATGTGGGTTACGTACACAAGAGTTGTATCACCAATTTGACTGAAAATAAATTTAAAAATAGCAAATGCAAGAACATAAAGATGAAGCTTCAAGCTGTCAAAGTGGCAAGATGCTGAAGCTGCACTGATGAAGAGGTTTTATTTGCATCAAGGGTAAATGGGACCTTGTAATTTTTCTCTGCCTTAGAGTTGGCATTCTATTAAATATCCATATATTCCACTTATATTTCACTTCACAGTCAATGAAAGTGAAAAATTTTATGACACTTATTACACCAGCACAGATACTATGAGTTAATATTTCATTTTTGAATTCGCATATAAATCAAATAAATTAAAGCTAAACCATTGATCATTGATTTATAAATTGATCAATTGATTAATCCCATCTTAACTATATACGGTATATGACTTAGGTACATACCGTATATTAGGTTTGCATATTTTCATTTTACTGTACAAATTTGAACAAATCATTGAAGGATCAATAAAATGCTAAATAGTATTTCCGGTCTTTATTTTTCTTTGTATCTTGTATAAATGTGTAATCTATTACATAAAAGCATTGCCATCCATGTTTTAGAAATTGTAAACAGTTCCTGAAGTATGATATAGGGTAACTCCGTGCATTTACAAAAATTTAGTACGTCAGTTGGGAAGGGAAATTTCCACTTGGGCCTGCAGATACTTCAACGCTTTGCCAAAATATCCTGCAAAACGCAAAAACAAATCAACCCAAAACGTTTTCTTGATGATCGCATAGCTGCGGTCACATTGGAGCAGTCAGAATGCATTATCACATGCTCAGTTGCCACTTGAGTGTAGACAAATGTTAGTTTTGCTGTTTGACAGTTTTTAGGGAAAAATTAGAGATTTGGGGGAACATGTGCACAGACTTTGTAAATAAGTAAGGGGCTCGTAAATGGTTTTCATGGCCTTGATATAGATTCATGGCTCATAAAAATCATGGCTTGAAGAAATGGAATCATGGCTGGCAAATCCATTAAACCACAGCTCAAAAAATTCAGTCATGGCTCATCAAGTAGATATATTCCATGCCTGCCTTGAGCCAATTTGAATGATTTTAGCACCATTAGAGAAAGCTCTTGTTGTAGACCCTATCTATTCCCATTATTCTATTCTAACTAAAATAAAACATTTTATATGACTTTGACTGCAGGTGGGTGGCCAAAGTGGAAATTCCACTTGCCCAACAGATGTACTAAATTTTTGGACATGCATGGGAAAGTCTGAGTTACCCTATGGCCTATGGCAGACGAGTGCTGATTTGGGAGGAATATCTACATCAGGATGGAATTATCAAAATTAAGGTTTATATATTATTCTTGATCCGCCTCTACCACTTTTCAATCCAAAAATTTTAGTTGAGATAGAAAGGATAAAAATAAGAGATTAGGAGGTATTAAAGTTACACTTGAAAGAATCAAGAATGAAGGTTGCGAAAATTTAAGATTTAAATTAGACTAAATATTAATTAAGTAGCAATTTGTCACCAAGTCAAACACAAAAAATTAACATATATGAATTAAAAACAAATCATGCCACTAATAAGAGTTGAACACAATGCAGCGCAAAGCTATTTTGTGGGAGCAAAATATCATCCGCAATTACTCAATGAAAGTTAATGAGCTACTGCCTTTGATGGTTGGCAATGCTGATTCCGCTTTCGGAAGTACAACATTGCATGCGTAATATTTATTAAGGTAGGTATGCAAGTACTGTAGTATTATGGTTACAGTTTTTATCATGAGTATTATGGTAGTTTCACAAATGTATTCAAGAACAGATTCTGAAATAGAAGTGACATTTCCATTCTTATACATAAATTCGATTGATAAATGCTTATTAAATCCATTCATTGTCATTTAATTTGGGATGATGAATGACAATTTCACCTTCATTCCTATGATGCTCATTTTTACAAGCTGCAGCTGTAGAATTAAATTAAATTTTAATTATTTAAAATATACCACATGGTACATGCTGTAGCATTAAATTACATTAAAAAAATTTCTAATTAAAAATTTTAATTTCAAATTAAAAATTAATTTTTATGAAATAAAATTATTTAATGCACCTCATGGTACATGCCAAATGCTCAATGATTTATATAATGCAATAATTGCCCATTTTCAACAACAAACATCTTCTAAAAGACACAAGACATTTGAAAACTAGCAATGCGAGATGAAATTATTCAGAATTTGAAGTGAAGTTATTAAGACAATATTAACATAACATGGCAAAAACATGAAAAAATTCATATCTGGATGTGAATAAATGGGGGTTTAAATTTTGAAACAACTTTCCAGCCTTTAGATCTCATTGTGGAATGTGGATGAAATCTATTTATTGTGAAATCAAACTTGACATTACCAAATCAAGGTGTGTGACGTCTTGTCAAATGTTTACATGGAAGCACGATGTGCCCATATGCCATGAAAGAACTGCTGTTAATCCCAGCATTTTGTGTGGTATCAAAAACTTTGTTGGTACAGGTGAAATCATGAAAATGGTTTGCAATAGTTGATATAATTTTTAATTTTATTTTAGAGAATATAAATTGCAAATATTTGTCAGTTACAGATAAAGGACTAGTAAAGGTAATGGAGGAAGGCATCATTGATACTCGGCACGGTATCAAATTTCAAACCATGCAAGATATTGGAAGCACAGCAATTTCTGATGAGCTCAAGTGTATCAATTGTCACTGTAGTGAAAGGTGTAACATCACTAACGTGGTAGGCTTTTTGATCCATTTTCTTATGTAAACTTGAGAATATATTACCGACGTAGAATTCCACACAGATCTATATTCAACCACAGATTTGGGTAATTCTCTTGAAATATAATGGATCACTTCCACAGAACTAAAAAAATTTCAATCCAAAAATTTTTTTGATTTTTTTTTCAATCCAAAAGACAAAATCACTTTTTACATTATATAAGAAAATGGATCAAGAATCCTACAATGTTACACCTTCCACTGCAGTGACAATTAATACACTGAGAAAACTGCCACGCTTTTGATATAGTGTGTAATTCGATGCTGGGTTGGTGACACCTTACTAGATTACATTCACTAGTTGTTTATCCATATCTGATAAATTTTTTCAATGAATAGTGTAGTGTTCTAAAAAAAATTGCGTCAACTTTTGCAGAAAATTTCATAATTTCACCAATACGAAAAAAGTTTTTGAAACCACACAAAATGATGGGATAAACTACAGTTCTTTCATGGCATATAGGCACATGGTGCTTCCATGTAAATATTTCACAAGACGGTGTTGCACACCTTGTTTTGGTCATGTCAAGTTTGATTTTACATTGAATAGATTTGATCCATATTCCACACCAAGATTTAAATGATGGAAAAAATTTAAACACCTATTGATACGCTTCCAGATATGAATTTCTCATTTTTTGTCCTATTTTGTTGATATTGTCTAGATAACTTTACTTCAGATTCAAAATGATTTTGTCTCCCGTCGCAGGTTTTAGAATGTCTCGTGTCATTTAGAAAATGTTCGTTGTTTAGAAGCAGCAATTATTGCATTTAATAAATCATTGAGCACATGGGAATGTACCATGAGGTGTATTAAATAATTTAATTTAATAAAATTTAATTTCTAATTTAAAAATTTCAATTAATGGATGGAAATGGTGGATCTAAAATAATATATGAACCTTAATTTTTATAATTCCATCCATCCTGCTGATAATTCTACTAGCATATAATTAGTGGCAATCAAGAATGTGTTTTTTTTTCTGGTGTCGGCATACAATTTCTGAATGTAAATCAAGCCTATGCATTGCAGCATAAATTTATGAATGCCAATGGTAAACAATCAAAGTACAACTCAGTTTACAAATAAATTATAGAAAGAATATTAGTTTTTAGGCACTGCTGGCTCAAATGGCAAAGAGGCCTGAGGCATTATGTAGGCAGATAAGAGTGGGAGTTTGGCAGCGCATGCATTGATAACCTTACATGATGCCAGTTAAAAACATACTGCCACCAACAACATGCATTGTGCAACGTGTCACATTTGAAAATCAGATTTAGAAATTGAACACATTACTTCCTTCGAAATAGATGTTCTTGTTTGCCATAATGGTTTGCAATGAGAGATTTTTTGCAATTGATGTCTCAATTCAACACTTTGTGGGCACATTAAAAAAAAACTTACAATATGATGTGTCATAGCACATTTACACTCTTAAGTTTATGAAATCAAAAGTGATCTTGACTGAATCAAAAACAAAACTATTATATTCACAATGCCATCATGCAAGCATGGCCTGGTATTTCTGTGTTTGCTTTAATTTTAATGAATGTGCTAAATTACAGTTTTTTTGCAGTTCTTCCCTGCATAAGTTCTTTAAATCTTAACCAATCTTGACCTAAGTAAATGCATATGTGTAGCTTCTTAATCACAAGCTTGTTGATGTTGAAGTTTTTGCCATAAAATTTGTATCCGATCTTCATAGTCATTAAAGTCACCCATGAACTAGAACAATTTGTTTTTTAGTGTCAAGTGTTTAAGGTATTAATTAATCCTTTTCTTATTTTTCAGGATTTTCCCATCTTGTGCCAAACGTGTCTGGGTGACAACCCTTACATTCGCATGACTCGAGACCGGTATGGAAAAGAATGCAAAATCTGCACTCGACCTTTCACTGTTTTTCGCTGGTGTCCTGGAGCCAGGATGAGATTCAAGAAAACAGAAGTGTGTCAGACATGTTCAAAGTTGAAGAATGTGTGTCAAACATGTTTGCTGGATCTCGAGTATGGATTACCTACACAAGTGAGTTCTTTTTGAATTTAAATGGCTTGCTACAGAGGCTCATGAGCTCTATGACTGAGTTAATAGATATTTTCAATTGTTTACATTTAGAGATTATAATAGATTACTGACTATAGACAAAAACTGTGGTTGCCTACACTGAAATTTGCCTTCTGTTTTTTTCAATTTTTTCTTACATTTCTAGCTGTTAATAATAATTCTTATTCAGGTACGAGATGAGGCTCTGAGCTTGCAAGATGACCTACCTAAAAGTGACGTCAACAAGGAGTATTACATCCAGAACATGGAGCGCCAAATGGCCACTACCTCAGATGGCTCGACTGCTGCAGGTGCACTGGGCAAAGCCAAGGCTCCCTCCGAGATGCTCATGAGACTTGCAAGAACTACGCCATATTACAAGAGGAATCGCCCACACATATGCTCCTTCTGGGTCAAGGGAGAGTGCAAGCGTGGTGAAGAATGTCCATATCGGCATGAGAAGCCCACAGATCCTGATGATCCACTTGCTGATCAAAACATCAAGGATCGTTACTACGGGGTTAATGATCCCGTGGCAGATAAGCTCCTTAAGAGAGCAGAGGCAATGCCACAGCTTGATCCTCCTGAAGATAAAAGCATCACAACTCTGTATGTTGGCAACCTGGGGGATCGAATTGGGGAGAAGGAGCTTAGAGACCATTTCTACCAGTTCGGCGAAATCAGAAGTGTAATCGTTGCCTCTAAGCAGCAGTTTGCCTTTGTGATGTTCACTACTCGCTCTGCAGCTGAACTGGCCGCTGAACGCTCATACAACAAACTGATCTTGCAAGGACGACGTTTAAACATTAAATGGGGGAAGGCTCAGGCAAGGCAGGGCAATACACCCGTGGAGGGGCCAGAGTTCAGAGAGGCCTTGCAGCCTGTGCCTGGCCTCCCCTCTTTGCCTCCACCTCCTGAAACTTTGCAGAACAACTTCTTCAATCTTGGGCCGACGGATCTGAACATCCCACTGCCTCCCGGCACTGGGCCAGCAGGGTCAGCTGCAACCAAAGGCACCAAGTCCGATGGCAAGACTTCGTCAGGGACTGAACCAGTTAGAGGTCCTCCTTTGCCATCACAAACGCCTATGGGATCGCCTCCCGCTCGCGGGATGTCTCTTCCTCCTGGGGTCATGCCGCCTCCCCACCTTAGTCTCTCCGTGCCACCTCGCCTTCCCCAGAATGTTCCTCATCGACCCTCAGGACACTTGCCGCCTCTTCAGCCACCACCTTTCTTTCCTGTACACTTGCGGGGTCAGCTGAGGCCGGGGATGCGACCTGCATTTTATCCTCAGCCTCCCCCAATACCTGGTGTGGGCCCTCCTCCGATGGGGGGAATGATACATTACCCGTCACAAGACCCCACACAAATGGGAGCTATTCCCACTACAGCTCCTCCACTTCCCGGTGTACCTCCATCTTAGTTTTTTTGGCTCCTTTGCTCTTCAATTGAGCTTTTTGATTCGCTGTTCAACTATAATGGTAGGAATAGTGTTGAAAAATGTGAAAAATTTAATCTTATTAAGACAACTGAGTATTTTCAGATTCACTTCATACTGTTGTATGATCGCTTATGAAAACAAAACCCTGAATAGGGAGAAGTTTAATTTGTGTTTACTACGAGATGGTTGTCTGTGTAACAATAACAATATTTTTTGTTGAGAACCCTAACATACTACCCCTACTCTGTAAATATACTATCATATTGAATTATATAAGTTTAAATCATAGCCAGTTTTTCATTACATTTGGCATAGATCAATAATTTTTACATGCGTGAATCTGTTTTTAAATTTCCATCAAAACCGTTCATGGCCAAAACTGAGTAATAGAACTTATAGAAGTTCGCTAATTTCTTTGTGAAACGCACCATCACTAATCTAACTACTCTTCAGTTCTTTGTTTGGTCTTCATTTGTTCGCGAAGAAGTGGGAAAACATTTTCGAATAGGTTCATTATTTTTATGTACTTGCTCATTTTTTTTTGCATTGAAATTAATTTCAGAAGCTAAGTATGCATGTTTAGTCATTTTATTTTACTTTTCTATTAAAAAATAACACGATTATTTCCTTGCCGAGTTACATGGTTAAGCACTTGGTGTAGGACGGATAACTGTTAGCGTAATACGGATAACTGCAGGTGCACAGTAAATGACTTGGTCTAACATAAAAATTTTGCAGGCCTGTTCATGCAGCTGCTCCAGAATGCCTGTGTTCCATTTTGGTACTACTGAGGAGACCTTTACTGAATTTCACAGTATTTCTGTGCTTGAGTAAAAATTGTGCATTGCTGACTGCTGATATAAATGTAAAAATTTTTACTGGTATCAAAACTCCTTTCAAGTGCGTTCTTAGCATACCGTACGTTTTTTTAATATTGCACCTTTAAGGGACTTCATTTAATTTTTGAACAGGCCTTCAACTCTTTCATCATAATGTAGTAATAGCTAAGTATAAGAACAATTTTAATGTCCAAATCGATAGTCGACCAAGAAATTAATGATCATCGTTTCCTCGCCTCTGAATTATCAATAAATGGATCGTCTTGAGGATGTTCCTGAACCCTTTGTAATTGTACGATACATAGTCAATTGGTGTTTACTCGACCTATTGAAACGATAATTATTGTCGCAATTAGTCAAATGGTGTAATTGGCTTATTGTATAATAACTTGAAATATCGAGTTCTTTTTCGAATATTGCTTCTGACGGTTTTTTTTATATGATTTTGTCCACAAAGGGCATTGCCTTGTACGCGATTTTCTCTTGCCTCCGTCTAGGGTCAGGACTGCGAGCCGCCAGCACATTTACGTCCATATAATGGGGCTCGTACGACCTACTTGTCGAGTATTGCTAAAAAAAATGTTTCCCATTATTTGGGTAATTTGATGCTCCTTTCAGAATGCATACAGATTATAAGAACTGTAATTAAATGACAATGGGAAAGGAATCCATGCGCTGGCTTGAAACGAATAATAATGAGAAATTCTTCACGTATTTTGTTTGAACAAGATCAGTATTGAAGGAATTCATTTTCTCTGTTGAATCAATGACATGGCAATAGGAAATCAAGCACTCAGTTCGAACGAATAACGATGGAAAATTGTTTCATGAACCTACTCTGTTTTTTCAAGAACAATAGAGAGGAAATCCATGTTCTTGATTGAAGCAATGGCAACAGAAAATCGTTTCAACACGTAAGTATTCAACGAAGGCTGAGCATTTCTTTCGCTATCGGACACAATCACGTTATCGCCCATAGATGCTCGGTTTAATAAGCTTAAATTTTAGTGAATCGATGAGTAAAATGTTTGTCAGAAAAGTCATTTTTTCATTCAAGGATTTTGATTGAGAAATGAACCAACACAACGCTTCGAGAACGAAGGACTTTCTTTCGGTGCCAGTTTCCTCAATTCTTCGTTGTTCCTTTATATTTTCAAACATTTAGATCCGAGTCCGAAATCGAATTTTAATACACCAAAGAAAAGATCATTGGGAAACAGAGTTCTTCACAAGTCGGGGGAAAGGCTAAAAGAAATATTGCTCCGTTGCAGAGCTCTAAAGAGAGTTGGCAATCATCCGCCGCGATGGCGCGTTTGCTGAACAGCTCTCCTTGATACAAACCGTCAATCTGAGGCGATGCAAGATGGGAGTCGATGAGGCGTCTGGATACAAACTTTGTCACGGCAGCAGAAATCTAACGGCTCGAAACTATGATAAAACCGCTGGAGACTGTGTATTTTGCGTCGTATGAAAATAATTCATAAGCATTAATTTAATAATACAATTGGTCTCAACTGCGCTTTTTTATTTTTTAGCATCAAAATTTTATGAAATGATACGTTTTTCAACTCTATGAGAGGGCTCAACCTTACTTTCCGCGCTGTTGCTAGACTATCCGCGCTGTTGCTTGGCATTGACAGTATATGAAAGACCCAATAAGGCCACTCTCAAATAGTAATAAAAATCATTCACAAGTAGTAATTTATTACCATAATTGTCTCAACTGCACTTCCTAATGCCCACTAAGATTTTTCACTCTTAATAAATAATAGCGGTTTCAGTGTTTATCAGGCCGCATGCCTGTCACCGCTTCTTACCATCGCCGAACATTCACAGCTTAATAATAATAATAATAATAGCGGTTTCAGCGTTTATTAGGCCGTAGGCCTGTCGCCGATTCTTAACATCGCAGAACATTCACAGCATTTTGCGGTCTCGAACTCACAACTCACTGCTACAGTTCTGCTGTGCTTAACCGCCCGGCCTCCTTGCCGATTCTGACCAGAAACTGGCGCACAGAGCTGGGATCGAACCCGCGCCTCTCTGCGCCAATCCTGGTTCTCTGAACTTTAACGCTTGTTGCGGTCTTGAACACGTAACCATGCACGTAACTCACTGCTCCATTCTGCTGTGGCTTACCGCCTGGCCACCTCGCCGATTGGACCAGCAGATGGTACTCAGTCTCGATCCCAGCACATGTGCGTAGTGGAAACGCGCACGCCAGGTTTGACTCATTTGAGGCGCAGCCATGTGGCTTATTGGTCTCGGGCCAGTCGCAATCTTTCCGAATCAATCCCGTAGTGGTAAATGGCCATAAGGGAACACAATATCCTTAACCTGTTATTCATTTGCAAAGAAGAACTCGTTGCTGATGTTCGAATTGAGGAAACAACTGTCAGGCCATGGTGGTGTAGAGTAGACGATCATTAAAATTAAAAATATGCCTATGCGGACATCCCGAAAAGGCTTGATTGAATAACATTTCCACTGTTATTATTCTACGAAGAGAGAATCGCGTATAACACTATTAACAGTCAAAACTTCGATGTTACGTAGCATATTGAGGGAATTAATATAAAGTTAAAGGGTGAGCACTAATTCACTGATAAGAAAAAAGAGATAAACGACTACATACAACAGTCAGAGGCTATACGAAATAGTTTGTGGGAAATATTCCCACCATTGTTCATTTGTTCGTTGTTGTCTCTTTCTTTATGTTGCATTCAGATGTTGTATTCCAGGATCTGGCAACGGAGACCGGGAACTCTCAGTCGCCGACGGCGAAAAGCGTGTAAAGGGTACACTGAGGTCCCTTGATGACAACGAACGCAGTCTCATTCGTTATTTATCGCTATCAAACTTATTCATAGCTCTCTCTATGCAAAAAGTACTCTCAAAGTTCTGGTGTACCAGACGCCAGGAGAACCGATACAATAAATAATATACAATCAATATAAGAAGGAAAACACTTGCCAGCGCGATCGCTGCTGCGCCGTCAGAAACTCCTCGGTCCCCGTGTCGCGGGGGGGAAGGGGGGAGAAGTTAAATGCGCCACGAACCGTCATCGAGATAAGAGGTGCTAGCAGAGGTGGGCAGTAGCGCGCTACATGTATGATGTAGCGGCCGCTACATTTTCAGTAGCGGTAGCGGCGCTACATTTAAACAATTGTAGTGGTAGCGGTAGCCCGCTACATATTCAAGTAGCGAGCGTTCTTCCACGCAGCGTTCATTGCGGATTGAACCAGGGTTGCCAACTTTTTTCTCGTTGGGAATACCAGATTGCCTAGCTCAAAATACCAGAAATTGTATTTTTCCAAAAAGATATTACTACCTTCAAATTTGATGAAACTATCCGTCAGAAACGTTGGTTAGAAAAAAAGAAAGGTAATTTTTGATCGTTTAACAGTGCATATTTCCGGCTTGACGAATTTTACGGAATGGGAGACTGGGTCTCTGGTTCCGTTTGGTATTTGCGTGATGCATCGTACAATTTTTTGGAAGCCATGGCAGATTAGATCAGTTGGGAGAAGGAACCTAAGAAACAGAAAACGGGGCAAAAAAATATTTTTTCGCAGCTTATGTTTGGAATTAAATTCAAGCCTTCCAAATAATTTTCTTCTGACTCATCCTTGCGACGTTTGCAGTTATTGTTACGTTGCAAGATTAGTTATTCTAAATATTGCTTACGAAAGTCTTTCACGTCTATGTTTCATATGCATTGCAATTTATAATAAAATCTACAGAAGGAAGTGGAGCCACGAATCAATTGGATTAGTGCGTATAACTTGAGATAAAATTTCAAAAGAGTAATAAGCAACTCACCATCTGCTTTCAAAACCACCAAACAGAAACGCAGAAGCTTGCGCCGCAGAGCCTGGTTCGACAACCTTTATCGTCAAAGGCCATTCAATCCCTGATCAGTGAGCAATCATGAACCTTCACTCTCGTGCACTTGCTGCACTGAGCACTATTGTTATATGTTAACATTTAGATCGGAGTTATTTCATCAAGCGGTATAATCTCGCGGTTTAAAAATGGCGGGAAAGCTCTAGTAACGTGGTTCGAAAAAAAATCTATATGATCCGCGCTCACGCTGGGGGAAGTTCAAACATTAGAGGTGGAACTTAATGCAGTTATTTTGCAATAAGTCAGAAAATACCTTAAATATACCTGATTTAGGCAATAATATCTGATCAAAAATATCAATACCAGACACCGTTTCAAAATACCAGATTTGCGAAATCTGGTATGAAATAATATCAGTTGGCAACGCTGGATTGAACGGGTTACAGATTGAAGTCCAGTATATAACAAAGAGGAGGCTATTGGAATTGAACTCTATGTATATACGGAATGAACTGGAGATCCCAGTTCTAGGAGTTAATTACCCAGGCAAGTCACGGTAAATTATGCGAAGAATTACCTTAGGTTAGCGATGAGAGGATTTGAAATGCGGCTGTGGTGCGCAAT